AGGTCAACATGGAACCACGGAATCCTCCCTGCACACAGTGGCTTCCAACATAGTAAACATCAAACCTGCCATCAGGGCTCAAATTTGTGTGGTATCAAACCTGCAGCACTACCACTTTTGAACCGCATTAGCTAGGAAATGTTTTAGTGAACTATTTTCACCGGACGTGACAAGGCGTGGTCAGGTGCAGAGAAACCTTACATCCTGCTATTAAAATGTAAGACGAAACTTGTCAGACACTAAGGAAATAATTTACTAGTATATGGGATATTAAATCAGTATCGGAAATTTGTCAAATCAATAGCTTCGTCATAAAATTCTATCCAATTTATTCTTGATTTTAGCAAAACGGAGGTTCAACATTATTGAGAAGCATGACAAATGTTCAAGTTAGTTAGTAAATGTCCAAATTGGCTAAGCCGCGTAAAAAACGTGAATGACAACTGAGAATAGATTCCTAAGTTTGGGGATGGGATGTATAACTAGTATTCGCTGTCTAAGGCGATTCTACAATGACTATAGCACAACGTTGAGGACAACATTGTACACGGATATCAACAGCTTTACTGCAGCAAAATAATTGTAACGTCCAGGCCTGTGTAACGTCAAAAAATAATTAAAATAAATAATAATTATAGTAATTATATACAAAAGAAATTAAGCCAACCAGGATCTTATTTTAATCATATTGGGAATTTAGTCCCAAGCGACAACACCCGCTAAAACCGCAAAGGCTCATGGGTAGACTCTTGTTTGTAAACAATTACACGCTATGGCCATCTGACGCATGCGCAGGTGACGACTCCCCCGCTTTAAGTTTGGCTTCGAAAAGTGACGGTATTTGTGCATGTTAACTCATTCTGCACGGATTACTGTAAAATATTTTTTTGCTGGAATTAATTTTCGCTGAAAAGAATTTTTTAATCTTTTGTATGGAATTCATATTCACTGATTGTTTACAAAGTATATTCGCTAGATTTTATTTTGACTGAATCGTGAAAATAAAGAATTGTACGGTACATTTATTGCTATCATAATAAACAACAATCAGTGCGTGTATGCGTTCTTCCGTCGCCTTGTTTTCCTTTTGATGACCTTTGACAGAATGGCGGCCGTTTTTGACCCCAAAACATCATTTGAAGATGTCACTTATCGTATCTTTTCGTAACTGGGAAGAACAGCAAAACATTATCCAGTGATAAGCTATCCTGACCAATCACTGATTAATCTCAATCTCAGTGACTTGCAACGCCTCCGTAAATTATTTGTCAATCAATTGGTACACACTACAAAATGTAATAACATCCGTTGAATTTTATTAACCTAACCTTTTCCGGGCATGACTGCCAGTGGAATGATGTCCTCATCTTCTTTGGAATGTGGGCAGTGTTTTTCAGTGTCTTTTTCTGTTTCTGTTTTGTGTTTGGTTTGTAACGAAATAAACTGGTTGTGTAAGATGGAGACACCCACATGTTGTCAATACATTTGTTCTACCAAAGACACTAGAAACTATTTCCTAGTGTATTTGGTATTACAGTACTCGTGGATTTGAAACTGTGTTGGCGACTAATTTGATCAACGGGGAAGCATTGAGTTTCCCATGTACCCATGTACCTAAAATGACAGTCTAAACTTATCGTTTCGTTGCGATCTGTAGTTGTAATGTTATTATAGCACCATGGCTCTTAAGTGATGAAACATGAACCAATGTCTTATGTACGACACGTCAGTATTGCACGAAACGAGTAAAGTGGTCAGATTTGTACCTAAATTGCACAGTTGTCAGAAAATATTTCAGGCAAAGGAACTGTTGTCTAGCCTCATGCTGATTGCCATGGTTACTCGTAAACGTCGGCAAGCCGTCCTGTCACATGGACGTGGACATCCTCATAAACCGTGAACATGTTCCTGTCGAACCTATTCACATAACAATGTTATCAATTACATGAGATAGGCGAGGTCTTTCAATATATCCAGTGTATATCTTCGGTATTTTGATATGTTTCTCAGTCATATAAGCAATATTAGAACAAAATAGAATGCTTTGACGTGCATACAACTTGAACTTGTCCAATAAAGAGACACAATCACAACAAATCTTGAATAAAACAATTGAAAGATCTGATAAAATTATTATCACAAATAAAGCTGCCGTTTGTTGTATAAGAGTTTCACAAACAACTCGTCTTCTGATATATTTTGTTTAATAATTGAACTAAATAGAAGAACAAATTCATCTAAGCTCCCATTTAACTCTATGTTTGCAGTGAGTCGTGTACGCATGCAGTGGTCATACTTCTAACACATCCCGGTAACACATTTACACTTATTTGTCAACAGGTCTTGTGTGCGAGCCATGAAAGTACATGTCTTCAAAAAAAAAGAGATAATTTCCCATTTGTAGTAAATGTATACCCGAATTAAGGATGTACGACCTTGTGTGGGTTATGCACATTGCCAGAGATAATGAGTGACGGATTACGGGGTTGGGTGGCGGATATTGTAGTCAGCAGTTACTGTGTATCATTCCGCGGTTTGGGCAAATATATATCGAATTTGTGATCTCAGGAAACGCTGAAACTAGTACGCGGTGTGTTCGGTTTTCAGATAACGTACACGATTTGTCCAGTAATATCGTCAACTGTGTCTATGCACGGTTCATCGCATTCACTCTACAAACTATATCGTTACCGTGGTAGAATGTACTAATATTTAGTTACGGCAAAGACACCAGGGTCTTTGGTTGCGACTCAGACAACTAATAACTATTCCTAATCTGAGGTTGTGGTAACGTGAAATTCACGCTTTCGGGGATTACAGGACAAACATTAATTATACTGATATTTGTTTTTATCATGAATTGCGATTCTTGTTTGTTTTCAACACTAAAACGACTTCCGATTATGGTTGTAGTAGGCTTTAGTTACGGGGAAATTAAAGAAGAAAAGTGAAAGCAGGGTTATTTATGCCGCTGTTTAACTTAATGTGCGTGTGGTATTCATCTTCCGACAAGTATGAAATACTAGTACATTTTATTTGTTATCACCTATGTTGTAATTCCAGCTTAACTTCTAACTAGTGTATCAGTTTGAATAAGTACACGTATATTTTAGTATATTCAGTACATTGCGAGTTTTTCTTTCCCAGTACTGTTGATAATATTTTTTTTTTTTTTTATAAAAAAGCAAACACACACTTCTTCAAATTTAGAAACGTGATTGATTGATATAGAAATATTATAGCACAATATATAGATTCATGTAATGGGAGATATGTTTATAACAACGTAGTTAGTCAGGTATTACTCGATAAACTGGTTTCTTCCGGGGATTTCATCAACCAATGACAGGATTAAAATATTCAGTGATCAATGTGACAATACGACTTTGTTCACATGCGTAGAAATAACTTTTAAACTTGACCTATATGCTTTTTTGGAAAGTCTGTTATATCCTCAAGTTGTAATGCAAAAATGCTGCTGCAACTACGTGACGGTAAGGGATGTCTGTAAGATTCGCCGTCTATTAGCTAGCTTGAGGAGTACTAGTATTGGGACCGGGTATTAGATGCATTGGTTTAGTCACGAGTTATTCAGTCTGAGTCACGCCGTGTAGCAAAGACACACGTGTTCGGCTTACAATTCCAAGTTAATCGAGAACATACTATTATTCATCAGTGTAACGGGCAGTCCAATTTCCGTTTCCAATCGTATGTTTTCCCATGTCTTATACGGTGGGCGTGGCATTATGATAACTCGTCGGTTTGTAGTACTACGCCCTCATACGACCGATTGAGAATTATAGTGGGAATTATTGTATTTATCTTTGTATGGGATACTAGTAATTGCAAAGCAAATATTAAAATTAAAAATAAAGGAAACTACTAGTAAATAAGGTATAAAAAAATTATTGGCACCGATCATACTGATGCATGATCATCGATGTTTTTTTTTCTATAAACATAAATACGAAACTATCTGAGACCTGTTGCTCGGTCATTTCAACTGAATTTCAGTGAAGTTCATGTATCATCGCACAGAACATTTACTTTTCAGTGCATTTATTTACGCGTGGGCTCAGATTCGGAGTGTTTCTCAATAAACCCATTGGAATGGGCACTGTAAGATACAGCGACACGGGATACATCATGTCATCCCTATCTTACCTGTACATTCTTTGCAACTATACGCAATGAAAAAAATATTGAATTGTTATTCACGTGATTAGTCAGTTTAAAAGACTGCTATGGGTCTGTGGCTCTAATATTGCCTTGCAACATTGTATAACAGTGATTTAACATAGGTCGTAAGAAGGATGCCTTATATGGTCAAAATGCCGGGCACTACCTGTGTACCGCGAACTATGACTGCAATTCTATAATAGTATGCAAATTGTGCGTATAGCCTGCCTCTCCCTTTTAACCACAGATCACCCGGGCATAACCCATACCTCTTTAGATTGAACGACCCTTTGTGTTCGTGCCTAATCACTTTTACAACGCTTTCCCTCTCGATGACGTCATCGAAGCAATACTGAATGTTGATGCACTCTTTAGCTCAAACAGGAAGTGGTGTTTCAACTCATTACAGAGAATTATGTCACTTTCTTTTGCAGAAAAATGTGCTCAATTTCTTTCTGAGTCAGAATACCTATGTTTTAAGCGAGAGAGTTTACGTGGTCTAATTTAAAAACACTTCAAATAACATACACCAGTGAATGATGGGAGAGACTCAATAGGGTTGAAGGGAACAATGGGTGAAACTATTTGGAGTATGATGTCATCAATATTGTCCTCTGAATTGAAGTAACTGTCTTGGCAGTTTACTCTCTTATGTTACGTAGACATCGTCGTTGACACATTTGATACTTTTCTCATCGTTTTCGGACATTCCAAGAAGTTTTTAGATAATTTTGTGATGAATTAGGTGTAATTTGGGGCGTGGATTTTGGCTGTAGTCAATTATTGTGGTCACGTGATATTGTCAATCAGCTTGGGCGGGCGGCGGCTACTAAGCGTGGCGCAAAGGATTGCATTGGAGCGCTGTGTGTCACCGTTCAGTTCCATAACACTGAACGTAACTCGTGATTTTACCGAGCGTTTTAGGCCTCCGACTATTATTAGGCGGACGTGAGAGAAACTGGAATATCCTCACATAGTGGTTTGCCGTGGTTGTTTTACTGTGTGATACGGGAATCAAGACTTGCTCTATCGAGTCACAGCGTGAAGCCAAATCCAACATGGCGGATTACAGCTCGGGCTCCGAGTTGAAGTACCTGATTGTAGACAAGAATCTTGTCAATGACCCGACCGCTCAGGCCGAATGGACATCCAAACGACTAGTATGGGTCCCATACGATGGCCAGGGATTTGTTGCAGCGAGTGTCAAGTCAGAAAAGGGCGATGAAGTAACTGTCGAAGCAACGGGCTCTGGCAAGCGAATGATCGTGCACCGGGATGACATTCAAAAAATGAACCCACCAAAATTCGACAAAGTTGAGGATATGGCCGAGTTGACTTGTTTGAACGAAGCATCAGTTCTGCACAACCTGAAAGACCGTTATTATTCTGGTCTGATTTATGTAAGTTTATTTCAAGTTTTGTATGAAATGTGCCAAAATCTCTGCGGCCGAGCACTTCCCGATAGCTGTGACCGGTGGTTCACCCTGATTCAGTTACAGTGAGTGTGACAGTGCCAGTATCTCGTGTAATTTTACAAACTAAAACTCTCCACCATTCTAATATTCTTCAAATTAGGCCAAAGTTGTGATACGTCAAGTAACGCAATTTGCAGAAAATATATAAAATATATACATAATATTCACAAAATGTTTAGAATATTTGTCAGAACAGGAAACTACTTTTTCTTTAGTCTAACACGAAGTCCGAAATTGTATTACATACTCGCTCTTGTCGTATACGACACGCCCCTTCACTCTCATTCAAGTCCAATGTTGTTTATATTTTGTCATTTTCAACAGACATATTCAGGCCTATTTTGTGTTGTTGTCAACCCATACAAGCGATTGCCTATCTATACTGAAAAAGTTATAGAACTATATAAAGGAAAGAAGAGGCATGAAGTCCCCCCACATATTTTTGCTGTCACTGATTCAGCATACATGAGCATGTTGCAAGGTGAGTCTAAGTAAAATCAGATTATTAAATGAATCATCACATCAGTTAGGTTGCTCCAGACTTATTTCTAATAAGAAGGTAATTATACAATAATTTCTTGGGATGTGTTTATATATGCAGGTTAAAACCAGCTCTAGCAAATTAATGATGCTACTTTTGACGTAAAACTTCCAGAACCTGTAACTTTTGCGTTAAAATGGTCTACCCTTCTTACTATGCTGCACATTTTGAATACAATTAGCTGAGTCCTTGCGTCAATCCCTCTGATTAGAGGTGTGCCCATTTTCTCTCAGATATTTTGACAAGCCTATCCCCTCTTTTTGTACCATACAAGTATTTGCATATGTCTGAACTCCCTTGAATAGGCCCCACTCAGCTGTCCGAAAAAAAACATGTCTGTGTCAATGTTTCTCCCTCCACAGGTGGCGGACCATATAGTGGATATATTTAACCATAATTCTGTTAGTAATCAACATAGATTACACAATGTACTTACCATGGATTCATGATAAACATAATTTACCAAAATGATAAGATTTTCACTTGTCTAGTATTTGCAAAGCTAATTCTGTTTCACATGTATGTGTGTGAACTGTGTTGGTCAACAAGGTCAGCAAGAGCCATTGTGATTGATATAATTTGTCTAGAAGTAGGAAGTGATAAGGACCTATATGCAGATCTGTGTTATCAATGTTGTCATTTAAAGTCTTAACTGTCTCAACTACATCATCAAAATATGCATTTTACATTATTAGTTTGGCTAATTATTCAGTGTATTTTCGATGGGAGTATTGTGTCTATCATTAGTTTGCAATTCTATTACTAGTTGGGTGTGGCAGGACTTTTTATGTCAATAGTAAACCTCCCATTGCTCACAGGTGGAAATGAATTGAATCTATAATTGCCTGAATAGACATGTATGTGTTGAAAACTGCCCAGTATCACATAGTTATTCTGTATAAAGGGAATGTTTGTTACCCATTGGCAATAGTCTCTTTAAGAGGTTACAAGGGTATGCTTTTGAGTATGTCTGTATGTAATGATTCCCACTCAATCTTTTTTTAGTATTTGCTTATGTTAACAATCTTGTTCAATTTGTAAGCATATTTATTTTGTGTCTTCTGGAAAATAAGCCTTACAGCTGACTGTGTTGGCCTTGTGCTGGAGACTAGTAGTTAGTTACTTGTTGTCTTCAGGAGAAACATTCTGATCACAGATGGATCATTCAACACTTAAGTTTAATATCTTTTCCACACTAGCATGTCTGTCTAATAAGGAAAAAATGTACCAGTAATTTTGCAATTCATGGCTAGGACATTATTTTGTATGGTTCATATAACTTCTGGAAATGCATTAAAATAAAGTTAGTTATCACTGGTAGTGTAGTGTTGTGGGTAGACCTAAGTTGAAATCCTATTTGGGTTGAACACTGGAAGAACTGATCCTTGCCTGTGAGCGACTGTGCCAGGCCAAAATCACTGACCAAGTTTTATTCACTAACGGATAACAATTTGGAGACCTCAGTTAAGGTCTGTAGGTGCTTATGTTCAAACGGGTCTGGTTGATAGGATTATGTGCAACTATAGGAAGATGGTCACATAACACTCTCTCGTATCCCAAACATGGAATAGGTTTTCTGTGGCAAAATGCAATATGTTACACATTAAAAAAAAGTCGAAAGAGACAAACATGAGATTCTGAAACTGTTGGCAGGTCCAAAAATATATCATAAAGATGAAAAGTTGGTAATTGGAAGAGGATTTTATTTGTGTGGTTCAATGATCTGCGGGTACAAGGAATGTATCCTAGCAATGTTATCAATCTAGTCAGTGTCTGCTACAGTTCAGTCATGTGAATTAAGTGCCAGTGTGTCTGCCCTTGGTGAAATTCCACCTGAATTGTGCAGATAAAATTGCTTCAGTTTGTACTCTAATTGATATAACTTTTTTCTTGTACAGTTGTATAATATTATTTAGATATGTATTCTTTTTATAGTAGTATGTGTCTGTTAAATACGTAATTAGCATATTTCCAGTATGTGTACACAAAAAAAAAAGACTGGTGTTATGCCTCAATTGGAGAATTGCACTTCTAATATAATTGAGAAAATACAGTATTTGTTTTTGTCCTGAGATAAAGACCATAGTGTAATCAAAACAGTATAAGGTATGGCAAAATGAAAAGACACACCTAGTACCTGCCAATTATCATGTTTCTGTGTGTAACTTGTAGTGAATATTGAATTACATTTACAATACAAGTCAAAGTTTCATTGACTCATTGGAACATCTGTTGGCTAGGCAAGTTCCTGTTTCTACAATCTTGTCACTATACCAGTGTTGAATCCACAATCCTGGATTAATTAGGAGATATAATGCTGTAATACAGGATGCAGAAGTAATGTGAAAATATTATCTGTCAACCAACTAAAAATAGTGCATTGAATACATAATTTATCATAACATGTATGTCAATCAGTATGGAAAAATAAATTTCAGATTCACGGTTAAATCGTATCTTCTATAGGGTCACAACCAGTTGCTATAATCACATAACACATTGTCCATGCTCTTTGTTAAAGTTTTGTTAACATCCTAAAAAAAGTTCCGGGTAATAGCAGTAGTACTTTAGTTATCAAAAATCAAAATCAAACTTAAGTGCATTTACTTGATGATCAAGCTAGTTTATACTGTATTGATGTTCTGAATATGCATTAGTGCTCGCATAATATTGCATTATAACTTGAGCCTAGTTGACCTTTGACCTGAAACCATAGATATTATTGTACTAATTTTTTTGTCATACTACAGTGTACAAACTTACATTGCCATTGAATAGTTTTCAAAAATTACAAACTATACATTTTATATAAAACTGAGACTCATAAATCAGCTGTTTATAGTGCTTTACTTGCAGACACTGTCAAAATAAGTTGACTACCTCAAGTGATATATGGTGGTTGAAATAGTTCCTTCTTAACAACCAGAACCAAGTACGGTAACCCCTAACAGAAGTTGAAAAACCAAATTTTTCACATTTACAGCCATTAAACTGAAATCGAAGTAGTCATTTTTGGGGGTTGGTTTGGGTTGGGGTGAGGGACTTGGTGTGGGGAGTGGGGTGGTGGTGGTGATAATCTTTGCAGTTCATGTGGGTGACACCTCATGATCTCATTCTACGTGTTACCAAATGTTAGTGTATCCATGCAGTATGTAATCTGTGAATCTTCACAATCTTGGGTAGTATTCTTAGGCGGGGATAATTGATAAAATGACATCCTGTTGTTCATGCAAGTTTTCAAGTGGCACATTACTCAGTTGCTTGGACTGTGACATGATACAGCCAACAAAAAACTCTACACTTACCCGTAACCATAACTGTTATGGACCTTGGTCCTAGTTTCAGTTTTCAACCATGAATTCATGTTTAACCTTGCATTTCAGCAGATTGTTTTCACCAAAAAGCTACTGATTCATGAAACAAAATGAATTCAGTAAATCTGTGTTTGGTGTGACCAGCAGCTGAGTTGATTTGTTCATCAACAATGATAATATTTGTTCTTTCATGACGTGAGCTGTTTCAGTCGAGTAAGTGAGCTGTGATTCATTAACAAGCCAAAGGGCTGTGGTTGGTTCAACCGTTTAAATGGTGATTGGTCAAGTGAATAGGGATGTCTTATAAAACAGACATGCTTTCAAAACATACATTATTGTTGCTTTCTCCTTCAATTTAATTAGGACTTTAAAACAATTGTAACAGTGGCTTGTGATATATTTTCAATTCGTGCATCTACTGTTTTCTTTACAACATCTGTTGTGCTGTCCCAGAATATTCATGCAACCTCATTGGGTTGTGAACCTTGCATTCCTTGAAGTAAATGAAAATAGCGTATTTTTAATATATGACAATAACTGATTGATAATGCAGATGAATTGTAATGGTACAATTAAGCAGCATGTTTAAACCAGTAGCTGAGTTCTGAAGAGATTAGTCTGACATCCACTGGTATGGTTTGTTCAGCTGTGTCATTATGTACACATTGTATTCTCAAAAACTAATGTCAAAGTGCACCTTGAAGCAGAAGTCAGTCTGTAAACGATGTTGAATTAAATAGATACTACTTCAGCACTTTGAATGCATCAACCATACACAAAATGCAGTACATTTGAGGCATCACTAATCCACCAATTGCAGTAGATTTTAAGCTTCAATCCTCTACCAATTGCAGTACATTTGAGGCATCAACCCTCTACCAACTGCAATACACTAGAGGCTTCAATCCTCTACCAATTGCAGTACACTGGAGACATCAATCCTCTACCAATTGCAGTACATTGGAGGCATCAATCCTCTACCAATTATATTACACGGGCGGCATCAATCCTCAACCAATTGCAGTACATTGGAGGTATCAATCCTTCACCAATTGCAGTACACTGTACACCAGAGGCATCCATCCTCTAGCAATTGCAGTACATTGGAGGCATCAATCCTCTACCAATTGCAGTACACTAGAGGCATCAATCCTCTACCAATTGCAGTACACTGGAGGCATCAATTCTCTACCAATTGCACTACACTAGAGGCATCAATCCTCTACCAATTGCAGTATATTGGAGGCATCAATCCTCTACCAATTGCAGTATACTGGAGGCATCAATCCTCTACCAATTGCAGTACATTGGAGGCACCAATCCTCTACCAATTGCAGTACACTGGAGGCACCAATCCTCTACCAATTGTATTACACGGGCGGCATCAATCCTCAACCAATTGCAGTACATTGGAGGCATCAATTCTCTACCAATTGCAGTACATTGGAGGCATCAATCCTCTACCAATTGCAGTATACTGGACGCATCAATCCTCTACCAATTGCAGTACATTGGAGGCACCAATCCTCTACCAATTGCAGTACATTGGAGGCACCAATCCTCTACCAATTGCAGTACACTGGAGGCACCAATCCTCTACCAATTGTATTACAAGGGCGGCATCAA